CCACCTCAAGTGCCTTTACCAAGCAAACGACAGCGTGACACAAAGCAGACTCATGCAACAGCTGACAACAATACAGATGAAGACCGGGGAAAAAGCGATGCAGTATATGAGTCGCTGCCAGACCCTCCGCGACCGCCTGCTTCGGTGCGGAGGAACGATCACTGAAGAAAGCTTCGTGACACTTGTCCTCGCCGGGCTCGGGCCAGAATGGAGAACCACACGATCACTTCTTCGAGCCCACGGAAGAATTTCGGAGATGCACCTCTGCGCCGAGCTTCACGCTGAACAACAGGAGATGGATCTGTTCGAGGAAAGACAACCAAGGAAGCAACAGCAGTTAGTCTTCTACACTCAAAGAAGAAATGACAACAACTACAACCGACGCAGCAAGCAAGATCAACGCGACAACCGAGGACTCACCATCGTACCGCCGTTCTGCCACAACTGCCAGACTTCCGGGCACTCCAAAGTCAACTGCAACCGCCCTCGCGTTTACCGTGCAGCAGACCCACAAGTCACTTCCACTCAAGCAAGTCCTCCAAGGCGCTCTTCAACATCTGCACAACAAACACCCAACATCATCAACTGCATGGTACACATCGACAACTGCGCACCCGGTTCACCACCCACTTACGCACCAGACGAAGAGGAATTCCCGCCGCCGCGCTCGCAAGGACTTCAGGTCAACCCGACATACGCTGCAGTCGCCAACGCCGAACCCACCGGGCGAAACACCTGGTTCTTGGACAGCTGCTGCGGTCAACACATGTGCTCCTCGGGACGCTTCGTGCAACAGGAGAAACGACTCAACCGCGACGTCGTCATCACAGTCGCCAACAACGAAAACCTGAAGACAAACAGACAAGGCGTGGTTCAGTTACAATCCATGGAAACAAACGTAATACTGCAGCTCAACAAAGTGCTCATTGTCGACAACCTGGGATACAATCTACTAAGCGTAAGCCAACTAATGGCCAAAGGGATTCACCTGGAGTGCGACTCCTACTCCAACGAGTTCCGGCTTTACCACGGGAAGGGCGGCCTCTTCATCGGTCGTGCCCTCCTGAAGTCCGGTGTCTTCGTGTTGGACTTCGTCCCCGACCGCGGAACTGCCGACAGCGATGGCATCGTATCGTTCGCCGCCTGGACTCACCCGCCGGATCTTGATCCCGACTTCGACAGTGACGGCTTCTGGCACTCCAACACCATACCTGCAGCAGAGAGAACACGAGCATTAGCAGTTATCCGACAAGAAAGACAAGTACCCGCAAGTGTCCCAACAAAACCATCACCTGCAGTATCGGCAGCAGGACCCAGCCGAGCACCACCACCATCAACACGAGGACCGCCAACGGAAGCAGACCAACTTATGCCCGCCACACGAGAAGCTTGTCGAAGTCCCGCCTCGGTCGTCGCGTTCTTCTCCAACGCCGACATCTACCACCGCTCGCCCGGTCACCGTGCTCCCGACGACATCTGGCACCAACGCCTCGGACACCCTGCAAACAGCACAATACTTCAAACAATCCAAGCAGAGGTGTTAGAACGCAACGCCCTTCTGACGACGAGCGGTCAAGAACTTCGACGACCACGCGCACGGTGCTTCACATGCCCCGAAGCAGATCTTCCTCATCAACCTTTTCCATCCCATCACAACCCAAGCGCACCTACTTACGCTCCGATGGAAAAAGTCTACAGCGATATTTTAAACATGCCTCGAGACGACGCCGAAGCCGACTTTAACTACGTCATCACTTTCATCGACGCCGCAACCAGATATGTCTGGCACTTCAATCTCAAAACGCGTGACCAAGCCTTCGAAGCCTTCACAACATGGCTCCCCATCGCCGAACGAGAATCAGGACTCAAACTCAAGAGCTTCCAGTCAGACGGTGCACTGGAATACCAGTCACAACGCTTCAGGACCTATCTGGCGGAAAGGGGAATCAGACGCCTGGTGTCCCTGCCCTATGCTCACCAACAGCAGGGGGTAGCAGAACGCATGAATCGGACCTTGCAGACGACGATGCGAAAACTGCTTCAGGGGATGCGACTGCCAACCACACTGTGGCCAGACGCGATGACACATGCTGTTCACCTGCACAACCTGCTGTCCTCGTCATCACTTCCCAACAACGCATCACCGCACCTGTTGTGGACAAGAAAAAGGGGCAGCACAAAATTACTCCGCGTTTTCGGCTGCATGGTACAGTACAGACCCCACACAGCCCGAGCAGGACGCTTCTCACAAAGAGCTCGATGGGGACTACACCTCGGCATCGCAAAACATTTTCACGCGTGGAAAATTCTCGACATACAAGACAAAAACACGGTGGCATCACGCGATGTTATCTTCTACGAACGACTGACGCTGCAGCATTACCTGGACAACCTTGCCAACACACAAGACCCCACCGACGGCTTCGCGGGCCTTCGCTCCTTCGCTGACCATACTGCCGAGGCTGACGCAGCAGAAGAAGACGTACCTGGAGCCTCGGAAGCTGCCGGACCACTCCCATTCTGTTCCGTACCTGTTCCACTCGATGAAGATAATCCCCTCGATAGCAACAACCTCGACACCTTTTACCACTTCGCCGACCAAGGTTACGCTACACCTCACCCCGTCGACACGAATATTTCGGAACGCATCGGCCCCAATTTCTTACCTGACCCCGAAGACGGTGACGAAGCAGCTTATTCCGGGAATGAAAATTCCCCTCGACACACGCCCACGGGACTCCAGATTCTAGGCCTCTGGGTCTCCGTCCAGAATCCGCCGCCGCCTTCTCCGCGAGCGCCTTCAACGTTGTCGCAGGCTCTGGGGGGGGAACATAAGGCAAGATGGAAGGAGGCAATGGAAAAGGAGTTAAAAGCTCTGCAAGACCGAGAAACATGGAAACTGGTACCTGCAACGAGCATCAACGGAAAAAACGTTCTCTCGGGGAAATGGGTGTACCGCATCAAGACCAACTCAGACGGTTCCATCGAACGATTCAAAGCTCGATGGGTCGTACGAGGCTTCGACCAACGATACGGAGCCGACTACACAGAAACCTTCGCTCCAGTCTCCCGTCACACCTCATTACGCATCCTACTCGCCGTCGCGGCCACGAAAAAACTGCCACTACGCCAAATCGATGTCGCGAATGCATTCCTATACGCACCTGTGGACGCTGAGATCTTCGTCGAACAACCCCACGGATTCATCAACGATCCCACGAAAATATGCCGATTGACAAAATCCCTATACGGGATTAAGCAAGCCCCGCGGCTCTGGCAGCAGCATCTCCACGGCCGTCTCGCAAAGATCGGCTTCCTACAATTACCGCATGACCAAGGGATGTACCGACTACAGAAGGGAAGAGATTATGTTCTGCTCATCGTCTACGTCGACGACCTGCTCTACATCGGCTCCACTATCGACATCGCCACCTGGTTCGAAGGGGAGCTGAAAGAAGATTTAACTCTCACGGTGTCCGACGAAGTTACCCAGTACCTAGGACTGAACATCGTCGAAGACGACACGGCGTTCTACCTACACGCTGGAAAGTACTCAAGCACCGTCGCGAAGAAATTCGGTCTAGCACCGACTGCGGTCCCAACTCCCTACCGCTACGGGAACAACAGTAGCGCCTCCACAAAACTCCCCGCGAAACAAATCCAGGAGTATCAACAGAAGCTCGGCTGCCTACTATTCGCAGCAGTAACCTGCCGACCCGACCTATCCTATAGTACGAGTCAGCTGGCGACACATCTGAAGCAGCCGCAACAGGAAGATCTCGAAGAACTCAATCGAGCGCTACTCTACTTCGTCTCCACGCCGACGATCGGGCTCACCTACAGCAAGGCAACAACACCGTCCGTACAACTACTCGGATACGTCGACGCCGACCACGCGGGAGACAGCGAAAATCGACGGTCTAGGACGGGCTACATCTACCGACTAGAACCTATCGGAACTATCTCCTGGCAGTCGAGCAAGCAGGAGTTAATCGCACTATCCTCGGCTGAAGCAGAGTATATCGCCCTTTGTACTGCGACCAAAGAAGGACTCTACCTACGAGAGTTACTCGAAGAAGCGAAGATCGCGACCCTGCCCGCCTTCTCACTCCTCTGCGACAACCAATCTGCGATCAAAATCGCGAACAAGGACGGCTTCGCCAACCGAACCAAGCACATCGCCCTGCGGTACTTCTTCGTCAAGGACGAAATCGCGAAAGGGAGACTTCAACTCAGTTACTGCCCGACGACAGAAATGGCCGCAGATTATCTGACGAAGAAATTGGCGAAAGCAAAATTCGACTACTGCATGCTCCTAACCGGGCAAACAAACGTCACCGGATCTGAACACTCCAGCACTCCAGAAACGAAGGGGAGTGTTGGAAATATCTCAAGGACTTAAGCGTTTCTGAAGTGTAACACTGTACTCGAGGAAGATTACAGGGGAGCACGCGAGTCAACGGAGGTTACACGAGGGGGGCGGACAAAGAATGCGAAAGGACTCGAAAGGTCGCAACTGGAGGTTGCGACTGACCGTTACAACATCACGGATGGTAACCGAAGCGGCAATCGAGTCGCTGTGCGACTCGATAAACCGTTCCTGTAAGTGTATTCTACAACTGCTTTCTTATCTTCTATATATTGCTGTATGCTTGTTTCTTTAATCAATCACTTGTTCTCACATACTAGTACAAGGGTTCAACCGTCTCAACTTCCGCTGCACTACTCAAAGTCTCAAGTCTCCACAGCTGGGACTTAGTCTCTGAAAAGATCCTAAGGGCTTTTTCTCAGCCCAACAATATCTAAGTTTTGTATCCTCTAAGAGGTGACTCTATACAGTCTATACAAACATGACAAATACACATGTTTGACATAATCGACTTACAGAAATGCTAAGTATCAATTATATCACAACAGTTATGGTGCTATTACGTGCGCTTCTGGGAGTACAGCAGTTGTAGCAAGGAAATGCTGATGGCTTGGGAGGGGGGAGGTTATGGCTTTCGTTGCTTTAGCAAGTGGAGGGGTGTTGTCAAACTACATCTTCAAACAACATAAGCTTATATTTATGACATGCATGACATGTATCCATCCAATAAGGCTCCTAAATGGCCGCCCCCAAATTCTCTGGGGTTATGGATTATGAGGCCGGTACCAACTTCGTCCTATATGTCTTCCATGATCTTCTTCATTTGCTCAAGGGTGACAAACAGGATGAGCGAGAAGGGGCCTTGCCGGACAATGGTAGGAATGAGTCCCTGAAAAGGAGAACACGAACAAGCACGGCAGTAACCAACCAACAAGGATGGAATCATGGATCGCACGTCAGCCACGGTGAAAGTCGAGGCAGTTCACAAAATAAAAGCTTGCTATCACGCATATCGGTACCTTGCACACACCTGGTACATCCCCTTTATACCGGGAAGGAATGATCCAAGACAGGAGCCAGCTGATCCAAGACAGGAGCCAGCTGATCCAAGACAGGAGCCAGCTGATCCAAGACAGGAGCCAGCTGATCCAAGACAGGAGCCAGCTGATCCAAGACAGGAGCCAGCTGATCCAAGACAGGAGCCAGCGGATCCAAGACAGGAGCCAGCTGATTCAAAACAGGAGCCAGCCGATCCAAGACAGGAGCCAGCTGGTCCAAGACAGGAGCCAGCTGATCCAGGACAGGAGCCAGCTGGTCCAAGACAGGATCCAGCTGATCCAAGACAGGAGCCAGCCGATCCAATACAGGAGCCATCGGATCCAAGACAGGAGCCAGCTGATTCAAAACAGGAGCCAGCCGATCCAAGACAGGAGCCAGCTGGTCCAAGACAGGAGCCAGCTGATCCAGGACAGGAGCCAGCTGGTCCAAGACAGGATCCAGCTGATCCAAGACAGGAGCCAGCCGATCCAATACAGGAGCCATCGGATCCAAGACAGGAGCCAGCTGATTCAAAACAGGAGCCAGCCGATCCAAGACAGGAGCCAGCTGGTCCAAGACAGGAGCCAGCTGATCCAGGACAGGAGCCAGCTGGTCCAAGACAGGATCCAGCTGATCCAAGACAGGAGCCAGCCGATCCAATACAGGAGCCATCGGATCCAAGACAGGAGCCAGCCGATCCAATACAGGAGCCATCGGATCCAAGACAGGAGCCAGCCGATCCAATACAGGAGCCATCAGCGTCAGCATCTGAGCTGACTAAAAAGCTGCTCCAATAAGCAATGCTCCTTGACAGCTGTAAAAAGAGCAGTTCTTCACTCCTTACTTTTCATCCATGTTCAGTCTAGAGTGGAGAGGGTTTCCACGTACAGAGCGCGCAGCCCTTCCAGCTTGATGGTTTTCACGGCGATGTCAATCTGGCTCAAATAGGGCGCCACCCGATCGTCATCTGGCCTGCGCATGTTCGTGCGGTGCGCCTTGACCAGCCCAAAGGGGCTCGACCAAGCCCAAGCTACTCACCTTGAACACCTACTCACCATGTACACCTACTCACCTTGTACACCTACTCACCTTGTACACCTACTCACCTTGTACACCTACTCACCTTGTACACCTACTCACCATGTACACCTACTCACCATGTACACCTACTCACCACGTACACCTACTCACCTTGTAGGGTTTAGCACGTACCAGGCGGCAAGAACTCACCTTATACAGCGCAAGTGGGCCTTCCAGTTGAATAGTCTCCACGGCACAATACAACGAGCTCAAATAGGGCGCCGGCCCCCCGCCCTCCGGCTTGCGTATGTTCATGAAGCACGTCTTGACCACGTGGAAGGGGTTGGACCAAGCACCAACGACGCACCTTGTACAAGGCGAGCGGCCCCTCAAGTTTAATAGTCTTCACGGCACAGTCCATTGGGCCGGAATAGGGCGCCGGCCCCCCGCCCTCCGGCTTGCGCATGTTCATGAGGCGCGTTTTGACCACGTCGAAGGGGTTGGACGCCAGCGACGCGAAGATGGCTGCTGTGAAGGCTGCCATGGTGTGCGCCCCCAGTCCTTCTTTCATGTACCCCCCGGCGACCAGGCTCTCCTTGGCCTGATCGTACGTTGCAAGCTGCAGGGCGAGAGGGAGCAGGGAGCAGAGGGGTGTCATGGGGCATGCATAGTTTCTGAGACATCTAGAAGCAAGAGGGAGGTGGAACGACCATGAAAGAGCGGGCCTTATCCGACCCACTCACCAATGCTGCACGCGTGCCCACGCTCGACTCCACAGCACTACACAGTCGACTACAGAGAGTCATTCTAGAGGCAACGTACCTGCCCAGCGGTGACTGCCATGGCGCGGTACACGGTGGGGTTACACCCCCTCCACTGCGCTGGCTTGCGCACTGTGGGCGTTGTGTGCCAATCACGAGGCAGCCAACCCATGCAGGAGTCAACCCACGCAAGAGTCAACCCACGCAAGAGTCAACTCACGCAAGGGTCGGCTCACCTGCCCAGCGGTGACAGCCATGGCGCGGTACACCGTCGGCCCACACCCCCGCCACAGCGCTGTGGCGCCCTCCTCCCGCTGAATGCGCAGGATGGCGTCCACCGCGCCCTTGTAGTTGCGCCGCTGCTCCAGCGGTAACCGCCCGTCCGCCTGCATTCGAACCATGGCCATGTCGGCGGGGTTGCCCACAGCCGCGCCAATGGCGCCCGACACCAGCCCCGCGCCGATCTTCTTGTACATGGGTAAGCCGCCCGGCGCCATGTGCGGCTGCTCCTCCATCTTGTGCTTTAAGATGTCGTAGATGCCCATGCGCGTCGCGCTGTAGAGAATCTGGCAGAGGGAGCAGGGGGAGGGGGGGGGGGGTGGGGAGGGGGGGGGAAAAGGGGAAGGGGGAAGAAGGGGGGTGGGAGGCTTGTGGGGGGGCGGAGAGGGTATGGTTCAGAATGTCGTAGAACGAACGCGCATCTTACCCTCAGATTGTCGTAGATGCCCATGCGCGTCGCTCCGTACCTATTCAATATGAAGAGAAAGGCTAAGTGGTTGGTGGCATCCTAAGTTGATTCCTTCGGTTTCATCCCGTTTTCTATCTGTCGTATTGTTGTCGCTTACCTGTCGCAGCATGGTCGCAGAGGCGCCAGAGAACAGCCCCTTGACGCTGTTCTCCCTCACCACCTTCGCCGCCACTCTAACCAGTCGCACCATTGTCGCACGCTTCGCATCTGTCGCGACAAGGTCCCTCACCTGTCGCATTATCGTCGCATGTATCGCATCCCTGATCGCTTACCTGTCGCATCATGGTCGCAGTGACGCCAGTGAACAGCCCCTTCACGCCGCTCTCCTTCACCACCTCCGCCGCGACTCTCAACGCGCCGCCCGGCGCTCCCGTCGCTCCCGCCGCACCCGCCGCTGCTTTCGCCGAACCTTCGCCCATCAGCTGAAAATGAGGAGCGAGAGAAATGGAGGTGGGTTGGAGTTTTGGGGAGTGGGTGCGACAGGAGGTGTCGCAGGAGGGTGAAAGCCTCCTGGCTAGTCATTAGGTCCCATGATGGGAGCTGGCTGGTGACGTGGACCAACCAATAATGCTCCATGACGTGGACTCCATTAGTTTGGAATTTATGTACTCACACAACATGGAGCATTATTGGTTGGTCCACGTGGAGCATTACTGGTTGGTCCACGTGGAACATTAGAGGTGACCACAATCTTATCGGAAAGCGAGCTAGTACCGACCTGCATGCGGACTTTAAGTAGGTCCAGCGGGTGCGTCGCGACGCCGGCCACCATGGCAGCGACGCCGCCCTCCACGAACCCCTTCCACGCTGCGTCTGCGCGACACTCCTTGAGCACTGACTCAGAAACATGTGCAGCATACTAACCTGCATGCGGACTTTCAGCAAGTCGAGGGGATGCGTCGCGACGCCGGCGACCATGGACGCGACGCCGCCCTCCACGAACCCCTTCCACGCCGCGTTTTCGTGGTGCGGCGCCGGCGGATGGTGCAGCTCGGGCCGCGTCTCGTGAACCATGCTGAATCACTATGAATGCCGACACTGAGTGTATTAGAGTTGACTCAAATGCTAGCTCGCACTGACTGCTGTCGACTCGACCAGCTGAGCTGTGCGGGTTGTATCAGCAGATTCTGGTCGGACCAAAGCGAGTCACTGAGGAGTTCCTTCGTTTCACTGTACAACGTCGATTGGAAGCTTTCGCTAAATGTCAGGAGCGGTTTTTTTTTCTAAACGTATAGAACGCACGATATCGCACGATCCCAAATCGACTAGGCTGTGTTATCGCGTAAACCTTGTCTGGAGACTGAGCGGTTTCTCGGAAAACAGGTTCTCAGGAAGCTTGACGCGTAGTATCACGAGTGACAAGGCTTCGTGAAACTGTTGAACGAGAAGAGGAGCCAAAGAGCGAGATTCCTTGCCGTCCTGAACCAAGGGCTTCCCGAAGGGCAAGCAGGCGATACGTGACGGGACGAAGCGATGACTGAAAGGAGCTATGAAGCTATGAAACGATGAAAGTTAGGAACTTTACTGAAGTAATAAAAATGTGAAACCGGAGGATGGAAGAGGTCTGGAGCTAGGAATGAAATAATATAGCACAGCCCTTTGGCTGCAGCAGCAGCAGCACCTGCGGTATTCCCAAGGACGCCGCAGAACTGCTTGCAACAGCGTCGGTTCGGAAATCTCAAGGCTCTGTGAGTCAGTGGCCTGGAAACTCGGCTCGGCCTCTCGGCTCGGGCAGAACTTCGAACCTGATTGGCTTCTCCGGTACGGAATCGATCAGCCTGATTGGTTGGGAAGGATGACCCACACAGACCTGCTGCTTTTCAGGCGAGTCTTCCAGGTTCAAGGGGATTTTTTGGCTGGCTGGCAGAACACGTGGAAATACTTGTGGTGACTGGTGCACCTCGAGAAGGTGAGGGGGCTGGCTGAAAAAGCTGCATCGCAGATCCGAGATTCTGGGAGAGGCTCGACAGGTTGGACGTACTCGTGGCTGTGTACGCGATCTCTCACTAACGAAGCCGTAGGAAGCATTGGTTAACTAGTGTTAAAACATGCCGGAATTGAAGACAAGATATATCGGCAAGAAGCTGAGTACAAACATATATTCGGCCTACCCACGACGCATGAAATTGGCAAGGTGGTCATCATCACCTTCATCCCCGTCCCCGGACAGCCTCACTGCTTCAATCTTTTGCCGAAGAACCTCCACCGCATCCAAAAACATTCTCTCTACAGATAAAGCTCCAGTCGATTCAACCGTGAAGATAAAGCTGTCCTGGCGCGGCCGAATATCCACCAGGCCAGGTCGACCCAAATCCTCTGCTTTGGTTATGACCTCGTCGTCATACGCATACAGCTCCGCATTCTCTACATAAACCTGAAATGTGGGAAGCAAGCATAGGGAGCCACGAGGTTTCAGTTTTCTTTGCTGACAGCCTAAATAAGCACTTCACTTGAAACTACAACACTTCCGAATCAAAACGGAACGAAACCCACGTGGTAGTCGGCATGTCTGCCTGGACCCACCTGTCCCTCGACTCACCTGTCCCTGGACCCTTGGACTCACCTGGCCATGCTCGTCAATCCCAAAGACTTGAGTCGGAGATGAATCCACCCACTCCCTTTTCTCCTCCAGGGTCATGCCATCCATGAGCGTGTGGTTGATGGTGATCTCGGGCTCGTACATGAACGTCACTGTAGCAGCCGGCGACCACTTGGCGTGATCCTTGCCCAGGCCCTTCCTGGCGATTGCACGGAGACGGATCTCCTGGCCTTTCCGCAGTTTCAGAATTACGATTCCTCTGAGAATGGGAAGTTGAGGGAGGGAGGGGGACAAGGAAGGCGAGGGATGTGTTGGAATTGGAGAACAGAATTTTGGATGCAGACGGCTGAACACTTGAACGTCACTGTAGCAGCAGGCGACCAATTGGCATAATCCTTGCCCAGGCCCTTGCGAGCGATCGCACGCAGGCAATCTCCTGGCCTTTACATCGTTTCAGGATTACAATTCCTCTAAGGTTACGGCAGGAAATGGGAGACGGGGGAGGAAGGGGAGGGGGGGGGAAGGGGGAGTGGGGGGGAGAGGGAAGGAGGGAGAGAAAGAATGAAAAAAAGGAGGGATTTGGGGGTCATGTGAATAGGGTTGAGGTTGTGGATGCGACGTGCTGAACGCACTGTGAAGGTTGATGAAAATCACAATAAACGGATGAAGGACGCTGAGGAAATTGGTAACTGCAGGGTATGAGGGGGAATGGGAGAAGAAAAGTGAATACCAGTTCCCTCCACTCCATCCACCAGGAACCTGTTCCCAACCAAATCCCTCCCAACCGCGCTTCATCCCATTCCTCGCCAAATCAAGCGACTTCCTTCTCCTCGCCGCCCCCCCCTTCGGTTCGTCTCGTGCAATCCACAGGAAGCACCGCTTCGTCACTGTCGTCACTCTACAACGGCACCAGGCCATGAGTAGACTTTTAAGGCGCCTAAAAGATAGACTTACTTCTCCTCGCCGTCCTCCCCCTCAATTCGTCTCGTGCAATCCACAGGAAGGACAGCGTCGTCGCTGTCGTCACTCGACGACGGCACCAGATCGTGAGTTGTAACGTCCAGCGTGTCATCTCCCGTACATTTGACGTTGAGCGTGAACTCCACTGCGCAGTACTCGCACGGGCCGTCGCCGTCGCACGCGTCGCAGTCGCGAGAGAACTTCATGGACATCGCACGGTCGCTGACCAATGGGATGAGGCCTAGTCTGTGTGCGATAAATTCGTCGTTTAGCACCGAAGTGTTATTCGCGATCTCGACGAGATCTATGGCGATGGTGGGCACTTCGGCCATCATGACTCGGCGAAGAACATTCGCGACGGACACGTCTGTTTCGCGAAGCTCGAATTTCAGGAACCGATCGCGAATTTCGCGAACGTGGAGCGTCGGCATGCGCTGGAGCGATGCGCCGTCGCCGGTCATGGGATCGTCGTCCATGGTGGTATCTTGGAGGAGCGACTGGCTCGGAGACTGTAACCTAATCTGCTACCAAACGCTACTCACGACTTGCCCGACACTCAATGAAACCTAAAATGCTGCTATTAAATTTACTAAAAACTTCACGAAGGAGGAGACCCCAGTGGCAATCGTCTCGGAGGATTAGGATGCAGAGCTGCCGCCGCGACTGCCTTCGAAGAAGCGTGGCGTCGTGAATCGCGATCGTGATAAGGAGACGCCTGAAGGAAACGAACTGAAGCAGCTTTGCATCAAATGAAACTGAGTGCCTGGCTGGCGCCTGGCTGGCTCAGACCTAAGAGCTCAGCTCCTAAGAAGCACGAGTGAAGAAGCATGAGTGAAGCCGTACGCCATACAAGGAATTGACGCGTTCGTGGAAACTTTTGATCTGAAACCCTTATGTCAATACTAAGAAATGTAACATTTTCCCAAACTTCCCCCGAAACCTCTCTCCCCTTTCCCCCAATCTCCCCACTTCCGCGCTTTCCTCTTCCCCCGCCCCCTCCCCTACTGTATTCTTCCCCCCGAGCCCCCTCTCACACACCCTCTTCGTTTTTAGGGTTTTCGGCCTCCCTCCCCCCCTTCCTTTCCTCTCTCTCTCTCTCTCTCTAGTTTCCTCGCTCCGTCTTTTTGGGCGAATCCAATTACCACCATGGCAGACAGGGGCGGATTTGGGCGCGGATTCGGCGACCGCGGCGACCGCGGCGGGCGCGGCGACAGGGGCCGCGGGGACAGGGGCCGCGGGCGGCGCAGACGCGCGGACGACAAGGAGGAGGCGTGGGTGCCAGTGACGAAGCTGGGCCGCCTCGTAAAGGAAGGGAAGATTAAGTCCATCGAGCACATTTATCTCTTCTCGCTGCCGATTAAGGAGCACCAGATCGTCGAGGCGTTTCTGCCGACGCTTAAGGACGAGGTGATGAAGATCATGCCGGTCCAGAAGCAGACGCGCGCCGGCCAGCGTACGCGTTTTAAGGCGTTCGTCGTCGTCGGCGACTGCAACGGGCACATCGGGCTCGGCGTGAAGTGCGCGAAGGAGGTCGCCACCGCCATCCGCGGCGCGCTCATCCTCGCGAAGCTCTCCGTGATTCCCGTGCGACGCGGCTACTGGGGTAACAAGATCGGAAAGCCGCACACGGTGCCTACTAAGGTCACCGGCAAGTGCGGCTCGGTCACCGTCCGCCTCGTCCCCGCGCCTCGCGGTTCCGGGATTGTCGCGGCGCGCGTGCCGAAGAAGGTTCTGCAGTTCGCGGGTATCGAGGACGTCTTTACCTCTTCCCGCGGCTCCACGAAGACTCTCGGAAACTTCGTGAAGGTGAGATTGAGTGGTGGCGGGAGAAGGGGAAGAGGAAGTGGATGGAGGGAGGGGATTACTGACCGTTGCATTTCCTGATAGGGGTTCTGGGTTTCTCTGCATTCGGGGCGACTTTTGAGTCGGCTCAAAAAGCCATGCTCTCTGATTCGACTAACAGATTCCACGTGGCCGAATCAGGTGCATACGCTCCGTGCACGTGGCAGCGGCTGGTTAGACGCTCCAAACATGTGTAGTGTAGAGGCTCCAGAGACACGTGGCAGAAGTACCTTCTAGACCTAGTCCTTGGCGCGACAGAACGAGCGTGATCTCGTAGTTTGTTTCTTGAGGCAGGAGCGAATGCGACAGCGTGGAGCGCGGATGGGATGGCACTTTGCGGCATATGGCTGGACCGTACTCTCGTAGTTGGTTTCTTGGGGAAGCGCCGATGGAGTAGTACTGTGGCTAGGATAGAATGATTTTTGAGGCGCCTCAAGAAGTACTGTGCCTAGGATAGAATTATTTTTGAGGCGCCTCAAGAAGTACTGTGGCTAGGAGGATAGAATGTTGGGAAGCGCCGATGGGGCATATGGCTGGACCGTACTACCGTAGTCTCGTAGTTGGTATCTTGGGGAAGCGCCGATGGAGAAGTGCTGTGGTAAGGATAGAATGTTGCGGCATATGGCTGGACCGTAGTGCCGGAGTCTCGTAGTCTGCTCCTTGGGGAAGCGCCGATGGGGCAGGAGCGCGGATAGGATGGCATGCTGCGGCTTAGGAAAGCATGGTAGTCCAGTGACGTACCCAGTGACGTACCCAGTGACAGGAGATTCCGTGCCGGTGGAAAGGTTTCGCGCTGTGGGTGCTCTTGAGGCTTTTGAGGCGCCTCAAAGGTTTCGCGCTGTGGGCGCCTGAGGAGTGTTAGCGAGCCAAGGGTGTTGGGCCGGCCGCCTGTTGACTGGCGCTCGTAGCACGACACGTTATGGCGGAGAGTCGATTTGTGGTGGTGCCGTAATTGCGGAGTGGTGGTTTATTGCTCAGAGCAGCTGGGCGTGGGAGAGCAGCCGAGCATGTGAGGTCTGGGTTAGCCGGGGAGACGTGTGGTAGCATGTGCGCAGGAAGAGACTTGCGCAGGGGGAGACCTCCGCAGGGGGAGACATGTGCAGTGGGAGACGTGCGCAGCGGGAGACGTGCGCACGAGGAGGGAGACGTGCGCAGGGGGAGACGTGCGCAGGGGGGGAAGACGTGCACAGGGGGAGGGAGAC